TGTAGGTAAAGGTATGCCTGTAAAAAATAAGCTTTTGGAAACTCTTCTCCAGGTTTTTCCCTTCCCTTTGAAGGAATGAATGGGTTTAATGAAGACTTCAAATTTACACTTCTGCGGCTGAAACACTACCTGGGTCATAACTGGTTTCTGAGTCACCATTTTAAGCTTCTTTCCTCAATTATTTTTCTAGTGCATGCGATTTTGTGCCTGACATTGACCCCTTTATATTACAAAGTTTACCACGTTATGGGTATGTGTATATATATATACATATATATATATATATATACATATATATATATATATATACATATATATATATATATATACATATATATATATGGCTAGAGGAAACTCCTTCAGTGGCCTGCCTTTGGATGGAATGTTTCTGTGAGAGCTTTTGTGGAGAACTCTGCCCTTCTGTTTCTGACAGACAGTTATGTTGATCAATGTTGCTATTTATTAGTTTGTTGATGGCAACGTAAAGAATTAAAATTTTATTGTATAGCTTTACAGGAGACAAAGAACCTACTCTTTGCCTTTACATAGCACCTGCACAATCTTAGCTGGTAATTTTTCTCCATGTGGAAGATAGCCTGCTTAATCTAGGCTTTTTCTCCCATTGACTGATTCAATCACCGGATGCAGTCACGTCATGATATGAGGACATTTCTTGCTGGTTTTCAGGAAAGTGCCTCTCATACAGACTGAGCTGTCTGCATGTCTGTAACAGCTAGACAGCGTCTTGAGGAGCTCTAGGCTAAGTCTTTACTGCTTGAGTTTACACAAGAGTTGTTCACTGAGCTGGGATGGGGGGAATCACTTGAATCCATATCCTTTTAGGTATTAACTATCAGAAATGTACTTACTCTGTTGCTGAAGTGTCAAGACGACTATTAAGGAAAAGTGAATATTCAACACCCTTGAGAAGACGTGTGGATGTCTTCTAACTCTCTTTCTCTGCTTCTGAGTAGAAGATAGCTGAATATATTAAGAGTTCTTTGCCAGTTTGACTATACTACATTATGGCAGGGGAGTGTATTTGTGTAATTATTGATTGCTTCCTTGTGGTGATAGCTGATGAGGTGTTCGTGCTTTTGTTATTTAGATGAATCAGCTACTGGTCACTTTGTGCTGATTCACTCTCAGAGCTGGATATAAGTATTTGAATAGATTTACAGTAACTTCATCCTTTTTACTCAGAGACACGCCAGTTGGCATAATTGCTATACTTGGCTAATTGTTCTGCTGTGTCAGGTAACAAAATATTCTACTTTCTTTTGTTCTTCTCAAGAAGATCGTGGCTTCATTACATAGGTCAAAGGTCTTAAATTAAATTTCTGTCATTTTTTTTCTCCAGTTAACCTAAGTGACACAGGCGAGTGTCTTTGGATGTAGCTGTGATTTAGGCATGCATGAGACAAAGTTTCAAAAGTTTGCTCTATAGAAGACTGAAGTGGTTTTTGGCATGCTGGGAACACAAGCAGAAGATGCCTCTTTCTCTTAAACATGAGAATATTGTCATGTCTTTCACAGGGATTAGATCTCAAATTCATTTTGGAATCTGAAGCTTGTATGAAGACTTAACTATCGTCTACTTCTCAAGTGGAGAATCTCACACTGGACACATGACACTAGCAGTTAGAAACTTGATTTGGCTATTGATTTTAAAATCTATTAAAATCACACTTCAATTGTTCCAATCTTAACAAAATCAATTTTTTTAAGCTTTCTGTATTTTGATAGTATATAAATATTCTTTATTTATTTCAAATATACATAAGTGAAATACTGAATTTATCTAGATAAAATTGATAAAAGTAATTTCACAGTTAAACATACTGGATGTTTATCTTTTAAAATATAAATATGTAATTAATATGGACAGTACAATAGTAGGAAATGTTAAGCAGCATTTCTTGGGTATTGAGCACCTTGCCGTGACTGAATAGTCCCGTAATCATTCTGCTCAGCAGTTAAACGGGAACAGTATGCCCACAGCTAAACTGGGTGCACTAGCATTCCTGTAAGAAAAAATGGGATGAATGTAGACAGGTCGAGCATGACTCC